CCCCAAAACCCCAAAACCCCAAAACCCCTGAATGTCTGAAAATGGTTGAATTTTGAAATTTTTAGCAACTTCAAGGATTGTCATTTTTGTTCACAATGTTAATGTGAGTGAGGTTTTCATCCATAAGTGGGTCTATCTGACTCTTTTCAATGCCACAACCTTTGATATTGATCTCTTTCAGAGAAAGTCTCAAGGGTGATCTCCTGATAGCTGTAATAATATGGCCGAAGGAGCTAGGATCTTTGTCCCAGTGCATATTATTCCATTTAGAGTTTCCACAGTTATAGAAACTCAAATATCCAAGTGATGAGTCACCTTCAATCTGGAAATCTAAAGCATCTGAAGTCTCGACTTTGCAATGATTTATAATTAATATCTTTGAGCTGGCTGCTTCCTTGACTAAGTCATTAAGATCTTGAGGCTTAATGATCATATTTGAAAGAAATACTTCATGAGAAGTTACTCTTATGGAATTCAAAAGATTATCTCTGTAAAAACTGAATCTTATTGAGTTTTTCTTATCATTTAAATATGGATAATTAAAAACGAAATTCCCAATAGATTCTACAGCTCAATTGCTGAAGTAAGTATTCAAAGATTGATCTTGGCCGGATACATTGCTAATATTTAGACTCTTTACAGCTGGGAATCTCAAACATGATTTCAAGAACAGATCTAAAATGTGTTGGCCTTCTTCCTTAGAGAGATCCATATCTACTTCTAAATAGAAAGATATTCATTAAATTTCTAATTTAATGAATTTTGGGAAACTCACTTGGAAGAATTCTGTCAATAGTCTCTTCAAACTCCTGTTTGATCTCGTCTCTATCTTGCTGAATATCTTTCAATTCTATTGATATTAATCAGTAGGCTTACCATTACTAAGTTCTCTCTTTTTGGAGTTAAATTCATTTTTCATTCCTGCAATTTGGGCATTTACTTCTCTCTCTTTCTTAATGTTATATCTGGTCTCTATGGTTTTCTTATCCTCTTTAACAAGGTTTTCTACCTTGTTTCTTAACCTAACATTGTCTGAAAACTCTGAGCATAAGACTTGGATTGCTTACTAATGCTTTCTTGGTCAAAATGATCATAATTAGTTCTATTCTCGATGGAGTGAAAGCAAATGCTTCTGATTATGCTGTTCTCTTCAGCTTCTAATACGATGCTATATTTTGTTTTAGATAATTTGGAAGGTAAGAAGGTGGTCTTACCTATCAACACTGTTCTTAAGCTCTTCAAATCTTGGAAAGTCATCATTAAGAATAGCTTCATAGATCTCTTGATCAAGCAAGTAAATTTTGTCATTAAAGTCCTTAAAAGTAGCATCTATTTCAGAAAGATATCTAGAACAGGCATTAATTTTAGAAAAGTCTTGGAGTTTCCAAATAAGTCTACAAGCATTCATGAATTCCTCAAGAATCTCTGTCAGATCTTTGACTTCGATGATTCCTTTACAATATCTGTGGTACATGTGGCATTGGGGGCAGAAGGAGACATGATGATTATCCCCACAGTAATACTCTCTCTTGTTTGTGCAAGTAGGGTGTTCACAAAGGTATTTGCTCCTAAAATATGATAGGTTGGACATACTTTCTAAGTATATTTTCGTCTTCATTTTCCTCCTCAGTGTCTTCTACTATACTTCTCAATGCTAAATTAGGGAGAAGTTGGGATTTAGGGCTATTAGATTGCTTTTGAGTAAGCATAGGCCTTTGCTCACCTAAGTTTCTGTGATTAGCTTCTAAGGATAACATTTATTTATTAATGATTCATTACTTTATGATATATAGGGGTTTTGGGGTTTTGGGGTTTTGGGGTTTTGGGG